TACCACAAATTTATTTGCAGAAAAATGGCGAAATTATTTGATTGAGAGAGAAGGTTACATGAATTATTTTAAATTAAAAAAGTAATTAAATTTTTATATACTATTACTATTTTTATATAATATACTTCGGTATTCAAAATTTTCGTTTTCAATTAAGATTTATTTGTTTCAAACATTTAATTTGACAATTCGATTTAATATTATACTTGGTCAGTTAAATATCTCTAAAATGTACCAGATGCAAGAATTTGCGCCTGTGACCGAATGATTTATAGTTGTATAGTGCTGTAGTGAGGTTAGCGGTTACGGCAACGAGTAGAGAAAAACAGTCGGAAACGCGGGAAACGAGCCCTAGGATTCTTTGTCACCGAGGACAGTATTTTAAGTTTAATTGACGCGTAGCTCTCCTAATTTGATCCTTATTTTTTCTTCTTTTTATAATTTTAGATCCTTATGTACTAAATAAATTAAATTCTGAGTAATAGTTAGGAGTGCAATTAAATTTTCATAACTTAAACTGTCCAATAAAATAGTATACACAACTTTAATTTACAATTTGATATTCAAGTGATACTCATTAATCTCACGTAACGAACGGTATTTTATATTTTATTTTAGACAATAACGCATTCTCACATAGTCTCTGAAAAGAATTTCAAAGAAATACGGGCTGCATAAGAGTTTATCTTATTAATTAGTATTGGTGGTAACAGTACTGGTAGTAGTAAAGTAAAGGTATAAATATAAATGAGTATACATAAATTGCATTCGTAATAATGGGAACGATGAAATCGTTTAACAGTACGCGTTATAGAACCGAAACCTTCTCCCGCACTGGTGTTTTAGGTAACCTTTATTCTCAAAGTATCTTTTTTTGACTGAAATCTATAAACAAATATTTCCACATTAGAATCAGCGCATCAATAAACTGTATTGAAAACGAGTTGGCCATATATGTAGTTCGTAGAATCAATCACATTTTTTAATATAAAGATTGAATGAAAGTGGTAATCTCGTACCAAAAAGCTCAGTAGGGAGCAGTTAATACTAAACGATGCATGCGTAATTGTGTCAGTAAGATTATGTATAGTATAGTATGATAGTGCATATCTGCTCGAGACTAGAGAAGAATAAATATAGAGAAAACAAATACATGAGGTGAAATAATGCATAGATGTGGCTTAAAATCGTTTTTTTGGGAATTCTTTTCAGGAGAACTGTGTCTAACAATGGACTTGTAATGAAATACAATGAAAATTGTGTTCAGAAAACAAGAGAAGAGCTACTTTGTTTTTTCACTGTTCAATCAGTCATATATGAATTTTGAGGCAATTACATCATAAGATAATTTTAACGATCTTGAATTATGTGTAAACAATAAAAAAACAGCCAATAGAGTGGTTGCCAAACCACTCGCCAAACGTGGCAACTATGGCAATATACCATCCATAAAAGTAACGAAGAGGCGGCCCACAGTCGCCGGCAGGCCAGCTTTTCCTGGCTACGGTAGCGACCATGGTAACGGCGGGAAAAGGAGTGCTAAGAATCTCCGGTGGAGGTTCGGTTGCCACCTACAACGACTCAACCTTGCAAATTATAACGCACGCACCTTGAGAACTGACGAGAAGATCCTTGAGCTGGAAGAAGAGATAGACAAGTTGCGCTGGAATATCTTAGGAATATCCGAGGTCCGAAGAGAGGGGGAGGACCCGGTAATCCTCGAATCCGGCAACTTGCTCTATCACCGGGAGGGTAACCATCTGTCCCAAAGAGGTGTCGGATGTATCGTCTCTCGTTAACAACGTTGTAAAGATTGGGCACTCCCTCCAATCGTGTCGACGAGGGTTGCGTACCTTATACTCAGAATCACCAAACGGTATTTGCTAAAGGTTTACGCACCAACCTCGGCACGCCCCGATCAGGAGGTGGAAGAAATGTATGAGGATATCTCTAGAGACATGCATTCCTTTAAACCCCACTATACGATGTTAATGGGAGACTTCAACGCAAAACTAGACACAAGAGAGAACGGTGAGCTGAAAGTAGGGAAATTTCGAATAGGGCAACGGAACACAAATGGCCAGCAGCTGGCTGACTTCATGGAGAAAGAGGCACTCTTTATGATGAACTCTTTCTTCCAGAAGCAACCCCACAGGAAGTGGACCTGGTCAAGCCCCGACGGTTCGACAAAAAATGAGATTGACTTCATTATGACGACCAGACGACAACTGTTCAGTAATGTCTCAGTGATCGTGCAGGTGAAAACAGGCTGCGATCACCGAATGGTGAGAGGTACACTGAAACTAAATGTTAAGTTGGAGAGGTCTCGTCTAATGAAATCAACGCTTCGTCCTCATCGTGCTCTAATCCAAAGTCCTGAAACCTTTCAGCTCGAGCTACGAAAGCATTTTCAGTGCCTAGAAGATTGCAATGCAGTAGACGATATGAATGACAAGCTCGTGGAAACTGTCCATGTTGTCGGAGCTAAGTTTTGCAAGACCCGCCGCAGAAGAACACAAAAACTCTCCGATCACACTCTTAATCTCATGACTGTTAGACGGGATATGAAGCTGCAGTCTTCAATGGATTTAATAGCATACAGGCAACTGAACAGACAGATCTCCAAATGCATGCGGCAGGACTTAACCAACTTTAATACTGCTCGTATTTAAGAAGCGATCGAGCGGAACTAGGGCTCAAAAGTCTTTGCTAGAGATCTGTCTGCCAGAAAGAGCCAACTGTCGAAGATGAAGACCGAGTGGGGCAGCTGAAGACCGAGTGTGGCAGCGGCAGGACACCTGAGATTTTTAGTGAGATTGAGAGGTTCTATGGGCAGCTGTACACATCATCGTTGGAGCTACATGCAAGTGTGAGTAACGATCCAAGGGCGAGTCTTATCTGACACTATTCCGATGATATCCCGTACGTCAGTCTGAGCGAGATTAGAATAGCTCTCCAGCACCTTAAAAACGGCAAGGCCCCAGGCAAGGATGGAATTACAGCGGAGCTTCTGTAATCGGGTGGAAAACCGGTACTTGAAGTCCTTCTGAAGCTCTTTAATTCCGTCCTCCATGGTGGCATTACACCGGAGGCGTGGAGCAGAAATGCTGTTCAAGAAAGGTGACTACACTCTTTTGAAAAACTACAGACCGATTTCCCTTCTGAGCCGCGTCTACGTGCTGTTTTCGAAAGTCATTACGAAACTTCTCGTGCGCAAACTTGACGACTTTCAACCCCCCGACCAACCCGGTTTCCGAAAAGGCTTTAGCACCACAGACCACATGCATACCCTTCGGAAAATTGTACAGAAGTCCGAGGAGTGCAATTTGCCACTATGTCTGGCGTATATGGACTATGAGAAAGTTTTTGATTCCGTCGAAATTTGGGCGGTGCTGCAGTCCCTTTAGCAGTGCCAAATTTACTGTCGGTATTTCGAAGTGCTGAAGTGTTTGTACAGTAGGGCTACGATGGCTATCCGAGTACAGAACCAGAGTACGAAACCTATCCAATTGCAGAGAGGTGTAAGACATGGTGACGTTATATCCCCGAAACTCTTCACCGCTGCATTGGAAGACGTTTTCAAGCTTCTGGACTGGAAAGGATACGGTGTTAACATCAATGGCGAGTATATGTTCACCTTCGATTTGCCGACGATTCTGCCATAAGGACTATCCTTATGGCAGAATTGCTAGAGGACCTAAGTAGTATGCTCAATGACCTCAATAGTGTTTCCCAACGGATAGGTCTAAAGATGAACATGGACAAAACAAAGTTCATGTTTAATGTCCATATCACTCCTATGCCAGTAGTTGTTGGGAGCACTTAGCTCGAAGTTGTTGACGAGTATGTTTACCTGGGACAAATAGTCCGACTAGGTAAGTCCAACTTAGACCGAGAGTTCAATCGACGGATTCAACTCGGTTGGGCAGCGTTTGGGGAAATACGGCAAATCTTCTCGTCAGGTATACCTCAAAACTTGAAAACGAAACTGTACAACCAGTGCATGTTACCAGTGATGACCTATGGAACTGAGACGTGGTCCTTCACTGCTGGCCGGATAAGGAAGCTCAAGGTCGCTCAACGAGCTATGGAGAGGGCTATGCTCGGAGTTTCTCTGCGTGGTAAACTTAGAAATGAGGATATCCGCGGTACAACCAGAGTGACCGACAAAGCGCAACGGATTAGTAAGCTGAAGTGGCAATGGGCTACTACAAATGGGCTCAAAGAACGTACAACCGATGGGGAAAAAAGGTTCACGAGTGGCGGCCTCGTACCGGCGGACGAAGTGTAGGACATCCCCCCACTAGATGGAGTGACGACCTGGTAAGATATGCAAGAAGTCGATGGATGCAGGTGACTTAGGATCGTGCTTTGTGGAATTCTTTGGGGGAGGCCTATGTTCAGCAGTGGACTTATGAAGAGCTGTAATGATGATGATGATGATGAAAAAATATAACAGATTTCTACAAATGACTAAATAGACACATTTTTTTAAATATATTTACGAGTAGACTACGTTTTATCCTTTAGCTACACGCGTTATTTTTGGTACCGTTCCGTCACGGGCAGGGTCCTGAGGTATCCCCATGAATATTTGCCATATATTTTTTACATTTTTGAAATTTTTAAAATAAGCTTTTAGATTATAAGAAAAGGCACATTATTCTTTATAAAAAGTATTTATTATTCTTAAAAAAGTCAGTCTCTTGACAATGAGAAACATTTAAAAAATTAACCACTCGTACTTAGAATATTTTTAAGGCACTTAACAAATACGTTATAATTTTACAAAATAAACAACTTCTGAGAAACTTATTATTATTTTTCTATAATATAGGAACTAGAAGCATGTAATTTGAACAAAAAATAAAAATAAACATAGAAACAAAAAAAATGACAACGCCTCAATATTGCTATGGAGCAGTAACGTTAAAAATGAATCTTTGCGTTGGCATGGTAAACAGTAAGTAATTGCTATTGAATGAGGCTTGCAAATAGTTTTATTTGCAAGATTTGCAAACAATAGTACTCTTTTTGTCTTTAGCCCTTGGGCAAATAAAGCACCTACGCTTCATTTTTGGGGCACTATGGCCAGCTTCATCCGAATCAACCAAAGGCTGCTCTTTGTCAATCAACTTGCACATTATTGCTTTTATATCTTTGGTCAAGGTAGGATTATTTTCCCATCTCTGGGAAACATGTGGCTTTATAAGAGTCATAGCAATAGACTTTATATAGTTACGACGGCTCAATTTTTTATTCGGATTAGATAGAACCCAGAGAACATAACCATTTGCAATTGAAATGTTCATTATAGCACCAAACATTGCGTTAGGCCATCTTCGTGTTCGACGTGCACATGAATAATTTGAACACTTCAAATCCAAGGCATCTACACCTCCTTTGGTGCTGTTATACAATTCTATTATTTCCGGTTTTTTAGACTGCTCGTTTACTGACATGTCATGGTGCATAGAAGAAAGTAGAACTACGCTCTTGTTTTTTTTTGGTACGTGTGATACCAATGTTTTGTCACTTACAAATCCGAATAATGATGATTCCACGGGCCTTGTCGTGTTAGGTAGAAATTCTCGTGGAATTTCTCTCTTGTTTTTCTGCAGTGTGCCAACATATGTTAGACCTTTTTGTAAGAGAATATCCACTAACTCGACAGAAGTAAACCAACTATCTCCAGTGACATTTCTGTGTGATCCATATTACGGTTCAGTAAGCTGTAGAACATCTTGAGTTGGCACTGATAGTGAAGAATTTCTTTGAGTTAGAGGTTTTCCTGTGTATATAAATGCATTGTACAAGTATCGAGATCTTGCGTCACATAAACATTGCACTTTCAGTCCATACTTTCCGGGCTTGCTTTTGATAAACATCTTGAACGAGCATCTACCTCGAAATTTCACCAACATTTCATCAACACATAAAAATTCAGTGCAAGAATAATTTTCACGACAGTTACGTATGAATTTATCGAATAATTCACTTATCAAGGCTAACTTGTCTGTTGTTTTTCTTTGTTCCCGTGTATTACAGTCATCGAACGTTATATTATAATGAACGAATAAAAATCGGTTTAGACCCATTACGCCACGAAATATATCTCTGCCAGTGAAGTCCGTTGCCCATAAAGATCGAACGTCTTCATGATTTGATTTGAAAATCGCGGAAAGTAAAAGTAATCCAAAGTAAGCTCGTAACTCACAACTATCAATGTTTTTGGCATAGTAGGGCCGCACTAACGGTGGAATATATTGAGCTTCTAGTTTTTGATTAGTGTACAACACTATAGCTTGGATAATATCGTCGGTAAGCAAAAGTTCCCAAGTTTCTACTGGTGACATTTCGTTTTTACTAAGAGCAGGTCCTTTCAAACCAGCGCATTCTTCGATGATGTTGTGCTGTCGAATACGAGAGGGATGTGGAGGGGTCTTGCTCCATTTGTATCGGGTTTTACTGTAAAAACAATTTCTTATTGTTTCCTCTTCAGATTGACTTGCGGAGGAGTCGTCACTTTGCTCTATTTCGGACGAAGAATCATGTTCACTGTATACAGTTTCCTGATCGCTTATGTTAGCCTCGTCTTCTGAAATTTCTTGTTTTTCATCGCTCTCAGAGTCACTGCAATCCTCTAGGATTTGTACTATGGCATTTTCTGAGAGTTGACGACTCATTTTTTCTGTTTTACAACTCTAACTCTGAAAAAGAAGCAAGAATAAAAATAATCATATCGAAAATTTATACTACGTAAAAGCACGGAAGGGGTCACAGGGATCCCCAAGTAGGTAAATTACGTATTTACCTTAGCGAAAGCGCGACGTACGTACACCCGTCGAGAGACTCTGCGCCGCACTGAGATTAGCCGAAAGCGCGCGACCGTTACTTGTCAATGTCAAAAATTTACCGTTAAAAAACACCACGTGGGGTCTGGCCAGACCCCGCCCGTGCGGTTAAAGGTTATAGTTTCAGTCAACATTGGACATTATTAATTCAGATATAGCTCAGGTTCTGAGACTCAGAGGATGATTTTTCCCCGCCAGCACCAAATATAACGATTAATGCATTAATTTTAAGTAATCAACACTTACCACATAATCGGTGGTGACGAAAACGTTAAAAAACCATACACAAGTCAATTCCACCTACACGTATTAGGGCAGCAAGGTTAATTTTTTTTCTTACTCCAAAAATGCCTGTGTCCAGCTCTTTTACTTTGTGTATATAAGCTTTTCATTGGCTTATTATTGTTTTGCATTAAATATTGACAATGTGTCAATAATACCATTTTTTTTATTAACTTAAAGTTTTTAAATGTGTGGCAATAAAAAGTAACTGTGAATGAATAGCAAGGTTGCTTCCAAGGAACAATGCAGCTCAAATTATTCACTACGTGACTTCATACATGTCAGACAGGCACGAGTGTAGTTACTCACCATTGTGACCTCAAATAAAAATATGTTCGCAAATGTTTCCTTCCAAAACTTTTATACTAAAACTTTTTACCTGTTAAATATTAAAAATAGTATTTACGTACTAAAATTTTCTGTTGGATGCTTATATTTATAAACTGACCAAATGAAACAGAATTTTAATAACTTTTGTAATCACTTGTAATTAGTGGGATAAATAAAAATGATTTAATGTAGGATTTGCTGTAATCATAGCGTTGGCAGGCGGATTTAGGGGGTGACATTTGTATTACAGTGCCCTAGGCTAATGGTTTGTATTTTCATCGCACTCATTATCATTCAACAACTTAAAATGCACAGTTGCCGTGAGGATTTATGGAAAATTAGTTGATTTGTCAATTTTCCATACTCGTCACGCTTGGCAGACGAATTGATGATCGTAGTACTTCTCTCAGTTTTGACACAGTCGCCGGTCTGGGTATTTGAAGTCTAAATAATAATTTCCCTTCGAAGTGATGTCCCCTTGATTGACTTTTAGACACGAGCATGATAGATTTAGTTGTGAGTGTACAAGCAAATAAATAGGGCTAGCAATTGTTAGATGCACTCTACTGTTACGGTCTATTCTATCAAACCCAAATAAAGATACATATTCTTCTTTTTTATCTTTTCAGGTTTACTGCTGGCCAGATAAATTTCTTATAAAAAATGCGCCTGTTGGAATTAATTGCCTGGATGATTTTTCCACACTAACTAAGCTATGCAGGCGGGTTGATAAGCGCAGAGAAAGAATATGAGAGATAGAGAGACATTTCATCGTACTGATAATGCTGATAGTGATGAACTCTCTGCAAAGAGACTATCGTTAGATCGGCGTAATGTCCCCGATACTCTTTACCGCTGCATCGGAAAACGTTTTCAAGATACTGTACTGGAAAGGATACGGTATTAACGTCAATAGTGAGTACATCACTCACCTTCGATTTGGCAACGACATAGATGTTGTGGCAGAATGACTAGGGCACCCAAGCACTATGCTCATTGACCTCAATAGAGTCTCCCAACAGGTCTTAAGATGAATATGGACAAAATAATAGTCATGTGTAACGTCCATGTCAGACCTACGCCAGTAGTTTTTGGGAGCACTAAGCTCGAAGTTGTTGAGGAGTATGTTTACCTCGGACAAAGAGTCCAACTAGGTAAGTCCAACTTCGTCCGAGAAGTCAATCGTCGGATTGAACTCGGCTGGGCATCGTTTGTGAGATTACGACACATATTTTCACTAGGCATACCTAAAAACTGCAAAACAAGATTGTACAATCAGTTAATGTTACCAGTCCAGTGGATGACCTATGGATCTGAGATTAGTCTTTCACTGTTGTCATATGAGGAAGCTCTAGGTCGCTCAGCCCAGGGTTTCTCTGCGTGATAGACTTAAAAACGAGGATGTCTGCAGTTGAACCAGAGTAACCGACATAGCCCAACGGATTATTAAGCTGAAGTGGCAGTGGGCCGGCCATATAGCTTGAAGAACCGACAACCGATTGGGAAGAAAAGTTCTCGAGTGGCAGCCTCTTGACTGGCAGGCGGAGTGTAGGGCGTGCCTTCACCAGATGGGGTGACAACCTGATAACACATGCAGGAAGTCAATGAATGCAGGTGGCCCGGGTTACCGTGGTTTGTAGTGTTCCCTAGGAGAGGCCTATGTTCAGCAGTGGACTTGTGAAGGGCTGTAATGATGAATGATGTTAATGAGACTATCGCTATTACCTCGTCAGTTAATTAGCAGAGTGCACTTTGTCAATGCGAGGTTAAATGAAAACGCTTTGAAATATTCTCTCTTACTGTCTTTGACTATAATTTAATACATGACTAAGAACAGGCAAAACGTATTTTTAAAATAAAATAATTTTATTTTGTTAAAAATGTTAAATAAAAGTATAATTTTCTATACTTTTCATATCCTAATATTGGGGCTCTCAATTCTGAGAAAGGTTTAGGGCGACAAAGCTTTAAAAATGCGTGCTGGCGGATTTTACAACATATAAAAGATTTTTTTCTCTAAATGCAGGCGTCAACAGGTCGGAATAAAGACAAAAACAGAAGGCAAAATCCTTCACCATGCTATATTACAATTTAAGACGAGCATAACGATATTGTTACAGCGAACTATTTCTTATTGAGTAACAAAGTGATTTCTCGCATTATGTTCAACATTTAGGAACTACATTTTATTTAAAATTAGGTGACCAACAAAACAAAACCTCACCTAGAAATATCTTGTTGTAAGAAAGACTAATGATAAATACTTATCATTAGCTTTTTCACCAAAATTAGCAGACGGTTCAGTAAATTATTCACAAAAGTAACAAAATACTGCTCAAGTCAGTATTATACAATGTCGTTATCAGACGCACCAAATTTTTTTTCCGCTCGTTTAATAATTTCCCATTTTATTCACTATCTTTTGTTCGTGCAACAGTACCCGTGGCTTTAATTAATGATCTCTCCGCAAATTAAACAACGTTGATTGTTTTTGACTCCATTAAACTAATTAAGTGCTGTCGATACTCCCTTAATACGTTATAATAATGAAGTAAATTTGAGACTTTTATTGTTTTAATAACAAAAGTAAAATGCAAAAGATTGCCGTTCCATCGCACTATGGTAGTGAGGAAATACAGCATCTGTGCTAGCGCACACATATTCTTGCACTATCTTCCTACGCCATTTAAGTACTAAATAACTAAAAATAAAACGTATACAATGGCCAGGAAACTTATATTTAAAACGTTTAATATATATATATATATATATATATATATATATATATATATATATATATATATATATATGTTTATAGGAGAGGGGACAGAGGAGCATGCGGCTTACCTGATGGTAAGTGACTACCGCCGCCCATGAACAACTTCAACACCAGGAGAATTGCATATGCGTTGCCAGTCTTTTATAAAGGAGTAGGCTCTTTTCTTGAAGGTCCCTAAGTCGTATTAGTCCGGGAAAATCGCTGGTGGTAATCAATTCCACAAGGAACTTGTGCGAGGAAGAAAACATTTTCTAAATCGTATAGTGGTGGAACGCCAATCAACTAGATGGTATGGATGGTATCGCGAGTTATGTCGCGATGTGCGATGGTGAAATTGAGCGGCTGGAATTAGTCCGATCAATTCCTCAGAGCACTCCCCGTAGTGCATGCGATAAAATACGCAAAGAGATGCAACATCTCTACTCAGTGCCAGTGAGTCAAGCCGATCGGAAAAAACTCGGTCGTCGACGATTCGAACCGCTCTGCGCTTGATGCGATCAAGTGGAAAGAGCTGGCACTGGGGAGCCCCTTCTATAGTGGTAAAAAAATCTTATCGTCTTTTAATTTGACGCCAATGCCATCCGTCTATTACAGACTATATAAACTTCACAACTTTAAGAAAGCCGCGCTTACTCCACGTGCCACATACCCGGAATAAATACAGGCAAAATTCTTTTATGATACGTGCATGCAGAACTTTAAATGACATTTCCAATAGCGTTACTCGTAACTTGGATCTGTTTAATACCAGAGTTTCTCAATTAAAAATATTGTCGCACAAAAATTATTTTGTTAAGTGTTCTTCTGTTTAATTTTGTTAATTTACTGTATTTGTCTTAATCGATGTTATCTTTTACCGGCTAGAATTATTGTTCTTAAGTTCACATTGCTTATAGGTGAAAACTTTTAAATGCCCTTCTAGTTGTTATCTGGGAGAACGGCCCCCGCAAGTCGAGCAAAAAAAAGGGGCACGCCCGTACCATCCTTTTCTCGAAGCAATTCAGGCCATTTTCGACCCCCTATAACTTTGTTGTGAATTAAACTAGAAACCTGAAGTAACTCAGTAACTATGCATGCATTGTATGAACACGGTATATTTCAAATTTCATTCAATTTGTACAAGTAGTTTATGAATTATAACTAGTCAAAGTTTCTTAATTTTGTCACTTACTGACTGACCGATCATCAAAACTCTAAGGTACTTCTAGCAGATGTTAAAGCTTTAAATTTAGAATACAATTAGCGTTTAGTGTATAAATCAAGGAAAAATTAAAATATTTTGTAATTTAGGTCCAGTTTTCTAGATACACTAACTGTATAAATAACTATGTAATCCTTTATAAATATATAGGATTACAAAGTTACATTTGCAGTGAATGAATCAGTGTACCTGTATATGTATAATATAATGGAATAATAGATGCACAAATTAGAAAGTTGA